GTGGTGTGCGCGGCCCCTCGAGCGCCTCACCCGGTCCCGGCGGCGGGCAGCAGGTAAGCCCGCGCCTGCCACCCGCCTGCCGGGTGCCTGCCGCGCCCGGGGTGTGAATGACCTTTGCACCCCTCTCAGAGGGGAAAGAGGGTTCCATGCTTAGGAGACAGTGGCCAAGGACAGACCTCTCTGCCCCGTACTGGTGCCTGCGCCCCTGCTGGGCAATGGCAGGGGGCTGTGGCTTCCCGGGGCCGCCCTGCCGCTGTGTGCCCTTGGACAAGTCGCTGGAACTCTGGGCTTGCTGTCTCGGATGGCCTGATGAGCCAGCTGTCCTGGTCTTGTCTGGCTGAAAGAGCAGACAAGATACCTCCGCCTGCTCCTCCAGCATGCATGCTCCTGCTCCCCTCACCCCTTTAAAGGGTGTGTCCACCGCCCTCCAGCCCCAGCAAACACTCCCAGAGCAGTTCCCTGACACCCTGCTCTCTCCCCCAGCCCCTGCACCAACAGATTTCCTCCATCTGTCAAGTCCGTTCTGGCAAACCTCCTCAGTCCCCGCCCTTCTTTCTTGTAAGGCAGTGATATGGGTGCTGCTCTGCCCCTCCAAACTCAGTAGTAATCGGCTCTGGTTCTGCACACAGTACAGAGTGGGCATACAGTAGGTGCTCCATAACCGGCTGCTAGTAAATGCAAGAATAGAGCCTTTGGGAAGCAGTAGGCTCTCCTTACTGAGCCCCTGCACCACTCAGGTTGCAGGAGCTCCCACTCTCCCAGTGTGGGGGAAGAGGGAGGGGCGTAGGGGAGAGTATTGCCACACTCACTGCACTTTGATTTGCTGGAGTTTCAGTTCAGTTTGAGGATTACTTGAGCACCTACTTGTGTGAGTAGGCAGACCGGGCACTTCTCTATAGGGCACGACCTTGGCCTCAGACATCTCTGTTCCAGTGCCCAGCATGGGGCCTGGCTCACAGTGGGCACTTGCTGGACTCTGGCTGCCTCTCCACTCCCCAGAGGGAGAGCCAGGCAGGCCCCAGAGGGGTTGGGAGGGGTGGAGGAGGGAACCCCCAGATGTTGCTGCTTGAACCAGAGGCCCCCATCTGAGTGGAATCCTGACCAGAAGCTGGGAGGCTCCTGGATCAAAGGCTCAGGACAGGATGAGGAGACCCAGGGCAAGGTTCTCTTACCTCCCTTCCCCCAACTGGAAGTCCCTTGAAGGGGATTCTAGAAAGGGGGCAGGGCTTGAAGAATGCCTCCATGGAGGGAGACACAGTCCAGTGTAGACCTGGTTTCTTAAAATGTAGGGTTGCAATGTCTGGTTTCTAGTCCTGTCCTCTCCACCTTCCCCACTGGCCAGAATCCAGAACTTTGTGTTGGCTCAGTTTCCCCTATCTCTGCAATGGGCACAACTTACTGTGTTAATTAGGAAACTGAAGACTCCCAAGCCAGCAGCTTGACACCAGATTACCACTGTCCTGTCATCTGGGAGATCTACAGGCTACCTGGTGTCCCCACTCTGTTTCAGCCCCTCCTGCAGCGTGGACCACTGGGTCTGGGCTTGTCCACTTCCCCAGCTGGTCTGAAGGTCCCTGAGGATAAGGCCTGGCTTCTCCTTCTGTCCTTCCTAGACTTGCCCAGGCCTGAGCCCCAGTTCCAGCCTAGGGAGGGGTCAGTCCATGTGGGCTGTAGCAGCAGCTGCTGTGGAAATACCCTGAGCCTTATCATCAGGCCACTTGAGCTCCAGGCTCCCCTCCAATCAGACTTACGAGTCTCCCCAGGAAAGGCACTTGACTTCTCTGTCCAGCCTGGGTGGGGCTGCTGTGCCTCTTGCCTAGGTGAGGAGTACATTTTAGGGTATATTTAAGTTCAAGCACACTTGGATGTTGAATCATAAAAGATTGGAAGCCCCAAAGGTTGGGTCATAGGCTGTTCCTTCAAAGGATGTTGTAACCAGAGATTTTTGGACTCATTAAGTTTCAATCAGTGGATGTTGAGATTACAGTTTTAGAACTGCAGATGTAGAAGGGGGACCTCAGAGGTCACCAGCCAACCCCTATTCCAATCAAAAGACCTTTCACACTGCACTGCAAGGCTTTGTTGCCCTTGCTGGGTCTCCTCTCCAGGAGGGCCTGGGCCCTGTCTGGCTCATGCTGAAGCCCCCGGGCCTAACAATGTGCCATTGTCACAGGGGCTCAAAAAAACACACTTGTGATTCAAGGAGCTGACTTGAATCACAAGTGAAGATACTGCATCAGTGGACAGTTTTTCCAGCCCCAAAGACAGTGCAAACTGAGCTTAAGGGTGTGGATGGAGCCAGCTAGCTGGGCTCAGCCTCTCACTAGCTGGGTGACCTAGGGTGAGGTAGTTGACCTCTCTGAGCCTTCGTGTCCTCCCCGGTAAAGTGGGACTAATAGTAACAGCATCTACCTGTGGTGAGGACTGATTGAGGACATGTAAGATGCTTAGAACAGTGCCTGACCATTTCTCACTCAGCCTGCAAAGCGAGGCACACAAACGCCCTTTACCCCCATTCCTGCCTCAATTGCCCCCTAAATGTGTCCTGCTGCCTTGGGACAGTGGTATTTATTGTCATATACTTTAGCATGCCCTCCAGTGAGGTTGGTATGGTTCTTCCCATTTTACAGGTGAGCAGACTGAGGTTCTTGGCCTGAGGTTCCTAGTTGGCTAAGTGGTAGAGGCCAAGTTAGAAAGCAGATCTGACACCAGATCTCCAAAGCCCCCACGTGCTGTCCTGCTGCACCAGAGGGCACAGTCTGAAGACCCAGAAATGCTGCTCCCTGCCCCCGCCTTAATCCCCGTGGCTGCTTTGAGCCCAGAGGCCGCAGTATAGGCTGTCTGTGAAAATGTGACAGACTGGGAAGTGTCTGCTGCTGAAGCTAGAGCAGGATGTGGGCAGGGAGGCCAGTGGCTAGGCAGTGAAGTGGTGGTAGTGGGGGTCAGCTGCGGGGCTGCAGGACTGAGCAAGAATATCCCATTTTAGACACTTTGACGTATTGCTTGTTTGTGGCCATATCAGCGCTGCCTTCAGAGTAGAGGCTTCCACTCAGGGCGGTGAGGCAGGTGGTGTGATTGCTGGGGCTCTAAAAACTCCCTGGCCGCCTCAAGTCAGAAGGCCTTCCTAGGAAACCCTGGGGTGGGGCTGAGGCACAAGGGCTCCAGCACAATCTTGATGGCCCTAGAGAGCCTGTACCCTTAACCCCAGCCACAGAGGATGGCATCTGACAGAGGGCTGTGTCTGTGTGTGT